TTTTTATGACAGTATAAGCCCATGTAATCTTTTCAATCTCAGTGTCTTACAGTCCTCAAAAAAAAAAAAAAACCCTTCTATCACATGATACATGTCTGCCAGTCAGTTACCACATTTTCATTAATTCATGTTTGCATTAGATTGTCTATCAGATCTGATTACTGTTTCAACTAAAAGTCTGCAATGGCAATATTTTAGTGAGCATATACAATGAAAAATACTTCAGTGACCTAAGTATCAATAAAATATCTTTAAGTTACTATAACCAAGAATAACAGGCTTTAATACTTAGAGGAATATAACATGGCCCCTGAAAATTATTTTGCTATTTGAAGTAAAATTTTATCAGTTGAGTAATTTTTGATATCTTAATATGTGCAGGCTGGAGAAGGAAATGGCAACCCACTCCAGTATTCTTGGCTGGGAAATCTCACCAACAAAGGAGCCTTGTCCATGGGGTCGCAAAAGAGTCGGACAGCACTGAGTGATTAAACAACGAACAAATATGTACAGATTATGAAAATTTTAAGAATTTGTGATCAAATCAGGGATTTAAGAAGATGTGAAGGAGGATTTTAGGGGGAAAAGGCGAAGGTGGTAGGTAGTTTTACATTTAAATTTATTTATTTCATAATGTCTTAATTTTTTCAAAATTAAAAATGTCTTCCCTTTTCTGGAGCTACTACTACTACTACCCACTTCTCTAGTGACTCTTAACATTTTCAGCCTGCTTTTATATCACTCACTGTGACATGGCAGGGCAGTGTGGTGAAAGGAGAGTATCCAGCCGAAAGTTAGGAGACCTGCCTCCCAGGCTTCAGTATGTCACTGAGAGTTTTGTAATATTGGGTGGGTGTCTTGACTTCCCTGAGCTTCATTGTTTTTCGTCTGTGAAATGGGGGAAGATTAACTGTGAAAGGAACACTCAAGTCTGTTCCAACTCCGATTATGTTATCTTTATGAAGTAGAAGTTAAGGCCCATTTTAAACAGTTTGACTGAGCTCTGTTTAGTTTTTCTTAATATAGGGATGGTAATAACATGATCTGTCTACTTCATAGGATTGTGAAGATAAAAGATTGTAACAATGTGAAAATAGTTTAAAACTTCTATGAATGTAAGATGGTATTTGTTTAAGACTCTCAATAACTTTTAGGAGCAACATTTGTTTTTTTCTGAAATTTTGCTGCTGTTTAGCAAACACATATACCAAAATTTCAAAAAGGGAACATTTTTTAGCTGAGCTTAATTTTGTGTGTGTGTGTGTTTATTCCTTTTTACTTTTTCTATTTTTTCCTAAGCCATCACCAACATGAACTTGATAATTCTGTACCAAAAAGGTCTCAGTTAATACTTGTAATATTTTTCATCTTGTTAAAGTACTGCTTCAATTCTAAAGGACAGAAAGGCGAAAATACCTATCCATCTATTGCAAACTTCTTTTTAATGGAGTATTTTTATTACAGGCTTTTGCCCCTGATTTTGGATAATTTTATTTTATGAGTAAAGAAGTTAATAGCAGTGTAAAATTGAAAGTCTTTACCTGATATCTGCTTATCTAATGGAGGTAAAAAAAAAAAGTATGTGAAGTATGCAATCAGGTTAAAGGAATCAGCTTTAGTCTTCCCTTTCAGTGTTGCATTTCTCTTCATTTAAGGGCCTTGTTTTCTCTGTGGGTTAATCGGGAGCAGAAAGCATGTTCCAAAGATTGGATTCTGGCAAGTTGTAGAAGTACTGTTAGTACCTATAAGATTTTTCTCCCCAGGGAGATTTTCATTATCAAAATCCATAAACATGTTTAGGATGTTTGTAACACAAAATTGATTTTTAAAATAACTATTCAGATAGGATTGACATAGCATACAGTTCACCTGTTTAAAGTGTACAGTTCAGTGGTTTTTAGTTCATCCACAGGGTTGTACATCCCAGTGCCACAATCAATTTTAGATCATCTTCGTCAGCCCCACAAGAAACCCAACACCCATTAGCAGTTTCTCCTGCCATTATCCCCACCATCCCACCTCTAGGCAGACATGAATCTCCTTCTGTATGCTTGCCTGTCCTGTAGATTTTATATAGATAAAATAAATAATGTGTCTTTTCTGACTGGCTGCTTTCACTTAGTGTAATGTTGTCAGGGTTTAGCCAGGGTATAGCATATATCAGCACTTCTTTTCTTTTTATTGCCAAAAAAATATTCCATTGTGTGGATGTATCACCTTTTATTTATCTTTTCATCAATTGATGGATGTTTGAGTTGTTTCTGCTTTTTGGCTACTACAAAGACTACTACTATGAATGTTTGTGTAAAAGTTATATGGACATATGTCTTTTATTTCTCTTGGAAATGTATACCTAGGAGTAGATTTGCTGGGTCATGTGATAATTCTATGTTTAACTTATAAAATCAATTATACACCATTGTTAAATGTTATTTCTACCTGTAGAAGATTTTCTGGTTGTACTGTTTGCAAAGTCTTAATTTTGTCATATGGCCTTTACAACTATTCTGTGTAATGCAATTCTGTTGTTTTCTTACATACGAAAGTACTGTGTGTACTGTTTGTGTAGTTCTGTGAACTTAGTTTTGATTTGGGCCTGCTTAAATCGTCATGAGAAGTTCCTAGCGACTTTGCGTTAGGAAGTGAGAAATGAGGGACTTCATCTTGTAACTTTTAATTCTAGAGATGTGGTTAATAGAAGTATAAGAACAGGGAGTGGCAGTAGTGATTTAGTCACCTCAATGAATCCCTGTTTTTATTTTTTATTTCATTTATTTTTATTAGTTGGAGGCTAATGACTTTACAAATTTTTTTGTCATACATTGACATGAATTAGCCATGGATTTACATGTATTCCCCATCCCGATCCCCCCTCCCACCTCCGTCTCGACCCGATCCCTTTGGCTCTTCCCAGTGCACCAGGTCCGAGCACTTGTCTCCTGCATCCAACCTGGGCTGGTGATCTCTTTCACCCTAGGTTATATATACATGTTTCGATGCTGTTCTCTTGAAACATCCCACCCGCGCCTTCTCCCACAGAGTCCAAAAGTCTGTTCTATACATCTGTGTGTCTTTTTCTGTTTTGCATATAGGGTTATGGTTACCATCTTGCTCAATTCCATGTATGTGTGTTAGTATCCTGTAATGGTCTTTATCTTTCTGGCTTACTTCAGTCTGTATAACGGGCTCCAGTTTCATCCATCTCTTTAGAACTGATTCAAATGAATTCTTTTTAATGGCTGAGTAAGATTCCATGGTGTATATGTACCACAGCTGCCTTATCCATTTGTCTGCTGACGGGCATCTAGGTTGCTTCCATGTCCTGCCTATTATAAACGGTGCTGCGATGAACATTGGGGTGCACGTGTCTCTTTCAGATCTGGTTTCCTCGGCGTGTATGCCCAGAAGTGGGATTGCTGGATCATACGGCAGTTCTTTTTCCAGTTTTTTAAGAAATCTCCACACTGTTTTCCATAGCAGCTGTACTAGTTTGCATTCCCACCGACAGGGTAAGAGGGTTCCCTTTTCTCCACACCCTCTCTAGCATTTATTGCTTGTAGACTTTTTCAAAAGCAGCCATCCTGACTGGCGTGTAATGGTACCTCATTGTGGTTTTGATTTGCATTTCTCAGATAATGAGTGATGTTGAGCATCTTTTCATGTGTCTTTTAGCCATCTGTATGTCTTCCTTGGAGAAATGTCTGGTTAGTTCTTTGGCCCATTTTTTGATTGGGTCATTTATTTTCTGGAGTTGAGCTGGAGGAGTTGCTTGTATATTTTTGAGATTAATCCTTTGTGTGTTGCTTCGTTTGCTGTTATTTTCTCCCAATCTGAGGGCTGTCTTTTCACCTCGCTTATAGTTTCTTTGTCGTGCAAAAGCTTTTAAGTTTCATTATGTCCCATTTGTTAATTTTCACTTTTGTTTCTAATACTCTGGGCTCCTGCTGTGATTTAAGTCGGAGAGTGTTTTGCCTGTGTTCTCCTCTAAGAGTTTTGTGGTTTCTGGTCTTAACATTTAGATCTTTAATCCATTTTGAGTTTATTTCTGTGTATGGTGTTAGAAAGTGTTCTCGTTTCATTCTTTTCCAGGTGGCTGACCAGTTTTCCCAGCACCGCTTGTTAAAGAGGTTGTCTTTTTTTCCACTGTATATCCTTGCCTCCTTTGTTGAAGATAAGGTGACCATAGGTTCGTGGATTTATCTCTGGGCTTTCTCTTCTGTTCCATTGATCTATATTTCTGTCTTTGTGCCAGTTCCATACTGTCTTGATGACTGTGGCTTTGTGGTATAGTCTGAAGTCAGGCAGGTTGATTCCTCCAGTTCCATTCTTCTTTCTCAAGATTCCTTTGGCTATTCGAGGTGTTTTGCATTTCCATACAAATTGTGAAATTATTTGCTCTAGTTCTCTGAAAGCTGCCGTTGGTAGCTTGATAGGGATTGCATTGAATCTGTAGATTGCTTTGGGTACTATAGCCATTTTGACAATATTGAGAATCCCTGTTTTTCAACAACAGAATGAATCAAATCATTGAGTGCAGCAGCTCTGAGGTTACTGTTACAGCTCACATTAAGGCAAGATGGATCAAGGTAACTGTTGGTTTGTTTGTTTTTTTAGCCCTTGGAGACAATCCAGCAGATGCTGTCTTAAATTTACCTAGAACTCTTGAAGGAAGAATTTTAAGGACCTCAGGAAGGTCCTGTGCTTGGCGGGTGGCGTGGCGAGGAGGGGGTCCGCGGTCGGGCGAAGGGGCAGGGCTGAGGCGCTCGGGTGGACCGCGCTGGTGGCTCCCAGTGGGTTTGGGCCCCGGGCAGGTGCCGGGCAGGATGGGCGCTCAGGGCCCCGGCTGCGCTCCGCCTATGCCCGAGGGAGGCTCAGAGGACCGAGGGCCGCGGTCCGCGGCGGGCCCGAATCAGACACCTCCGGGGCCACGTGGCCCTGAGCCACGAACGGGAGTGGGCGGGGGGGGGGCGCTGACAGGGGGCGGGCCTGGAGAGGCCCAGGGCGGGAGGGCGCCGAGACCTCCGCACCCCTCACCCCAACCCCAAGCCCAGGCATGCACGCCCGACCGGCCGCTCGGGGTCCCGGAAACACTCCGGGCCCCCGGGCCGGGCCAGGTTTGCTGGCCAGGGTTGCCGGTGTGTGGGGACTGGGAGGCTTTGGCCGGGCTGCCGGCCCTGGCCGGCGCGCCCCGTGGAAAGGTGCGGCCGGCTGGCTCAACACGGCACATCAGAGCGAAAAGCAGGCGCAGCGCAGGGTTTTAAAAGGCGCCTGGCGGCAACCGCCTCCATCTAAGATCATACCACCCTGAATGGGCCAGATGTCTTCTGATCGGGGAAACTAAGCAGGGTTAGTTAGTACTTGGATGGGAGACCCCCTAGTAGTTAGGAGCTCCAGGCTTTTGCACAAAGTAGACGACAAGCCAGTGCAGAGGTGATGAAAAGTTTATCGTGAAAAATCCAATTCAACCTGAATTCAAGGATGGTTTATGGCATAAAAGCAAGTGTTTTCCATTAGGTTCCCCCCCACCCCCCATTAACTTGCATAATGGTTGCCATTAGCATAATGCTTAGTTTTTATTCCTTCTTTCCTTGTCTATATCCATCTTTTTGCACCATCATGTGGTGCCTTATTGGCATAATTTTCCGCCTTTTGTCTTCCCATAATGCTGCTGGAGGAGACAGATGGACTCCAGGTTAGGCATTTACATCTAGCCTGTTTACATTTCCTGAGGCAAGCGATGGTTGGGCTCCAGTTAAGCCTTTACAGTCAGTGTCCTGCTTGCCCTGTGAAATGGAAGTAACAACCGAAAGAGGGTAAATAACCAGTGTCTGTCTCTCATGAACACTTTAGTAGCCATGACAAGGGCAAAGAGGGACAAAACCCTGCTTGAGTCAAGGATGAAGAGATCTCCCCTCCCCCCACCCCCCTTGTGGGAAAAGGGAAACACTACACATGCGCAGAGAGGCTCCTTGTGGGTGAAAAGTCCCACGAAAGTGCCAGACCATGATGAGCCTTGCTTCTCCCAGAAGCCTCCACTTGGAGATCCATCTTGGCTGAGGGGTATGTGCACACCAGGGCAGAGGCCCAGGATAGGTCAGATGTGAAGAAAGAAACCAGAAACTTGGCAGGAAGGAAGACAAAGACCCAGAAGAACTGGCCTATATAAAGGACTTCACCACCTCGTGGTTATTGTGCTCCTTCTCACCAGGGGGCGCCCATAACCTTTCTCTCCAGGTGTATGTCTCTGCTTTGCTTCTGTGGTAACTAGACCAGCTGTTCCTCCGTGTTCTTTCCCACGTGTTGCTGTGCTGTGTCTCTGATAATAAACGTTGTACCTGCATGTAGCGATTCTGCCTCCATGATGAATGCATTTTTCACTGGTCAAAGATCCAGGGAAACTTGGCTTCTAGCCTCTAGCCCTTGCTGGTCTGGTGGCTAGGATTCCTGGTTTTCGTTCAGGCTCCCCAGGTTCAGTTCCTGGGCAGCGAATTAGATCTCACTTCACGCCACCACTCACTGCTGCCTCACTGAGATCAACTCAATTTTTATCACCATTTAATCTACATCATATGAATTTTTGCAACTTTTCGAGAAAGGACTTCTTAGGAATTAACATACTGATATTTCCATAAGGGGGAAATACTTCTTCCCTAAAACTGCATTGAGAAGATTTGCACTTAAGAAAATGTGTTTTAATGTAGCGGAATTACTATTTTGTCTTTACACTCTAGCAGTTGTTAAATCCTTAACTGCCAAGAACTGTTCAGGCTTCCCTGGTGGCTCAGCTGGTGAGGAATCCACCTGCAGTGCAGGAGACCTGGGTTCGATCCCTGGGTTGCAAAGACCCCCTGGAGAAGGGAAACGGCTACCCACTCTAGTATTCTGGCCTGGAGAATTCCATGGACTGTACAGTCCATGCGTTCGCAGAGTCAGACATGACAGAGCGACTTTCACTGTTCACCAGCAACGGTTCGGCCTGAGATAAGAACTTTCAAAAATCTTTGAACACAGACGCTCTAACTTATTTTCCCTCTGGGATAAATATTTTGCATTTACTTTTAGGTCATATAGACACAATAGGCAGAGAACTCTCTTATCATGTATTTTATTTGCATGTAAATTAACATCCAAGAAACTTTAAAGTAGAAACACTAAATACAGTATTGCACAGAGTATTAATCTGTGTTAAATGCCCCATTATCTCACTGAAGTTCCTATACGCATGCAGGGACTGAAGGAGACAGGAAGATGGCAGAAGAGCAACCCGAGAGCCACTACTGTGTCTGGGCACATCAACTACAGACTGCAAGGTAAGGACAGTATTTTACAGAAATAGAAACATAGTTACAATTCAGATTTCCTTTTTAAGTTGCCTCCTTAATTGGTTTGCAGTAGCAACAGATTCTCCCCTTTTTTCATAGCCATTCCCCAACACATATCATTTTAAAAAATCTATTAATGTTAGACAAAGCCATCACAGTGCTTCAGGAGTGACTTCAAGAAAACTCCAATCAAGTCACAGTACTCAGGCAGGTGGGTTTAATAGAGAAGTCCTAGGTAGATATCAATGCATCTGAAAGTGGGCAGTAATGTTTGAACACATCTAGGATTTCCTTTTAAACACAAGCTCCAAGGAAACAGTACTGAATTGACCAGAGGAACAGTAAAAAGAGGACATCACTGGAAGGGAGTTTACACTGCCAGTCTGGCCCTGTGGTCTGGCGCTGGGGTAGCATCTGCTCGCTTGGCCCCTGTGTCCCTCAGGGAGGTCACGGGCTCAAGAGTGCAGAACAAGTATCATCACTAGGACTGCCCAGAGCTGCTGCGAACATCCAAAAAGTTTCACTTTAAGAGTTCTTTAGAGGGCTTCCCTGGCGATCCAGTGGCTGCTCCCAATGCAGGGGCCTGGGTTCAATCTCTGGTCAGTGAACTAGATCCCATTCACTGCAAGGAAGAGTTTGCACGCCACAATGAAAGATCCCATGTGTGGCAACCAAGACCTGGTGCAGCTTACAAAAGAGAAAAAAGGCACAAAATGTTCTTTAGAAAGTGCTATAAAATGCTATGAATGATTGCTTCTGCTAAGCAAATGGTAAGAAAATATGTGTATTAGTTGCTCAGCTGTGTCCGACTCTTTGTGACTCCATGGACTGTGGCCTTCCCAGTTCCTCTGTCCGTGGAATTCTCTAGGCAAGAATACTGGAAGAGGTGGCCATTCCCTTCTCCAGGCGATCTTCTCAACCCAGGCATGAAACCCAGGTCTCCTGCATTGCAGACAGATTCTTTACCACCTGAGCCACCAGGGAAGCCCAGGAAATACGTCGACCGGAATCCTCTTAATCAAGACAGGGGCCATTAGAGAGAAAATAACCTACTCGGTTAATTTAGTTTTATTATTGCCATTCTCCTTGGGAATTAAAAAGAGGGTACTTCTGGAGAAACTGACAAAGCTGTGATTTATCTTAATAAAAGACTTCTTATGGAGATCTTGAAACCTGTTTCCTGAAAGAAATGAGTTCTAAATATATTTCTTAAGCCTGGTGGCAAAGTTTCTAATGACAGAATTCATCTCCCATGCAGCTCAATGAATCCCTGTTTTTTTTTTTTTTCATTTATTTTTATTAGTTGGAGGCTAATGACTTTACAAATTTTTTTGTCATACATTGACATGAATTAGCCATGGATTTACATGTATTCCCCATCCCGATCCCCCCTCCCACCTCCGTCTCGACCCGATCCGTTTGGCTCTTCCCAGTGCACCAGGTCCGAGCACTTGTCTCCTGCATCCAACCTGGGCTGGTGATCTCTTTCACCCTAGGTTATATATACGTGTTTCGATGCTGTTCTCTTGAAACATCCCACCCGCGCCTTCTCCCACAGAGTCCAAAAGTCTGTTCTATACATCTGTGTGTCTTTTTCTGTTTTGCATATAGGGTTATGGTTACCATCTTGCTCAATTCCATGTATATGTGTTAGTATCCTGTAATGGTCTTTATCTTTCTGGCTTACTTCAGTCTGTATAACGGGCTCCAGTTTCATCCATCTCTTTAGAACTGATTCAAATGAATTCTTTTTAATGGCTGAGTAAGATTCCATGGTGTATATGTACCACAGCTGCCTTATCCATTCATCTGCTGACGGGCATCTAGGTTACTTCCATGTCCTGCCTATTATAAACGGTGCTGCGATGAACATTGGGGTGCACGTGTCTCTTTCAGATCTGGTTTCCTCGGCGTGTATGCCCAGAAGTGGGATTGCTGGATCATAGGGCAGTTCTGTTTCCAGTTTTTGAAGAAATCTCCACACTGTTTTCCATAGCGGCTGTACTAGTTTGCATTCCCACCGACAGGGTAAGAGGGTTCCCTTTTCTCCACACCCTCTCCAGCATTTATTGCTTGTAGACTTTTTGGATAGCAGCCATCCTGCCTGGCGTGTAATGGTACCTCATTGTGGTTTTGATGTGCATTTCTCGGATAATGAGTGATGTTGAGCATCTTTTCATGTGTCTTTTAGCCATCTGTATGCCTTCCTTGGAGAAATGTCTTGTTAGCTCTTTGGCCCATTTTTTGATTGGGTCATTTATTTTCTGGAGTTGAGCTGGAGGAGTTGCTTGTATATTTTTGAGATTAATCCTTTGTGTGTTGCTTCGTTTGCTGTTATTTTCTCCCAATCTGAGGGCTGTCCTTTCACCTCGCTTATAGTTTCTTTGTCGTGCAAAAGCTTTTAAGTTTCATTAGGTCCCATTTGTTAATTTTCGCTTTTGTTTCTAATACTCTGGGATCCTGCTGTGATTTATGTCGGAGAGTGTTTTGCCTGTGTTCTCCTCTAGAAGTTTTATGGTTTCTGGTCTTAACGTTTAGATCTTTAATCCATTTTGAGTTTATTTCTGTGTATGGTGTTAGACGGTGTTCTCGTTTCATTCTTTTCCAGGTGGCTGACCAGTTTTCCCAGCACCGCTTGTTAAAGAGGTTGTCTTTTTTTCCACTGTATATCCTTGCCTCCTTTGTCGAAGATAAGGTGACCATAGGTTCGTGGATTTATCTCTGGGCTTTCTGTTCTGTTCCATTGATCTATATTTCTGTCTTTGTGCCAGTACCATACTGTCTTGATGACT